GCAAGTCGTCTTGAGTTCTAGTCGCCTTGAAAAAGTTATGTGTAAAGCAGGCCTATATCAATTTGGTCTTGTGGTATTAGTTGGCAAGATGATCCTGTGATTAGGATTTTTGACTCATCAGAATCAGAAGGTTCTGGGTTCGAATCCCTGGCAGGCTCCAGTGACCTGTCTTTAGGAAAGGTACTAGTACTTTAGACCTATTTGTGCACTAATTGTAAAAGTGACTACCTAAGCTTTGGTTAGGGACATCCTATGGATAGAAGTTAGGATTTAAGCTAGGCCTAGCTTTAGCTAGGTTTCCAGGATTTTAGCTAGGCCTAGCTTTAGCTAGGTGTCCAGGATTTTAGCTAGGCCTAGCTTTAGCTAGGTGTCCAGGCTTTTAACTAGGCCTAACTTTAGCTAGGTGTCCAGGATTTTAGCTAGGCCTAGCTTTAGCTAGGTGTCCAGGACTTTAGCTAGGCCTAGTTTTAGCTAGGTGTCCAGGATTTTAGCTAGGCCAAGCTTTAGCTAGGTGTCCAGGATTTTAGCTAGGCCTAGCTTTAGCTAGGTGTCCAGGATTTTAGCTAGGCCTAGCTTTAGCTAGGTGTCCAGGATTTTTTACCAGTGCACCCAAATATTTTCATAGGTTTAACGTATGTAAAGATGTTAAATGTGTAATAGTTACAGCATATTCTTAACATCTGAGTGTCAGAAAAAATAATGTAATCATTGTTATACTCACAGTTTAAGTTATACTTAGAGTACTTTTCTTGAAATAAAACATATTTATAGTTTTTGCTGACATTCTACTTATCTTATCTTACTAGTACATAACAGGTGGACCTAAAATATTTTTTTCAGCTTGGGTGTAGCAGTGCACCTATTCCTGAATTTCGAGCCCTGAAAGCGAAGAATAGAACCTACCCTTCTGCCCATGAGTCTGTTGGTGAGGGTAGACTTGCCAGAGTTAGGTGCTCCTACAATGGCTACTGTCATCACACGGGCTTCTGCAGGCTGGCCTGGGACTGTAGCTGTGACATCTGGTGTAGCAGGAATGACAAGAAAATATATAATGAAGTTCATGCCAAAGGCCACACCAATTTGATTTCTTGGTTAACGGATTTTTAAAGAAAAATAATGGAGTGGGCAGGCGAAAAAAATAATAACAGGCCTAAGTAAGCATCGTATTATGGCCCAAAATGGTACAATAGGAGCCATGAAGTCAACACACCAGGCTGGTTCAAAATTTTGAGCTTTTTATGATACCACTGCATTGAAAGATGGAATAACTGTAACAACTAGGAAGAAAAAGACTGTTTTCAACTGTTCAGGGCAAAATATGAGCATTTTGCACTTGATTCTGAATTTTTATTTTTATTTGCAAATCAGAAAAAAAAATGAAGCGGGCAAATCCGTTAACCAAGAACTTAAATTGGTGTGGCCCAAGGGCTAATTGCAAACAGACATTGACAAAAACAGGAATACAGAATGTGGTGATTTAAAACTACAAAATGTATATGCTAACATGGGGTTCTACGTATATGGTCTGCTTATTTAACGTACTCTACATGTATATCTACTTTAAAACTAATAAAACGTTGGTGTACAGGGTAAAGAGTGGATGTGCCTTACATAAATAAGAAACATGGTAATTGCTAATCTATTCTATTCTATTACTATAATATATAACACTTGAACATACAAGCACACATTTTACTTGTATGGAATTCTAATAGAGCTATGTATATGTACCTAGTGCTGTGTATCTGAACCCAGATTTAGGTTCAGGTCCGGATTCAAGTCCAGTGGTTTAGGTTCAGTTTCGGACTTGTAAGTCCGGACCTAAACCCATGGCATATACAAATTTGCATGTTGGCAACCTTGCAATGTTGTCTGGGTAAAACTGTAGCCACATAACATGGAGGCCGGTACTTGACGATGCCTGATGGCAATGTTTTCTTCATTTTGCAGCAGATCTTGCAATCTATGGAAGGTTTTACTAGGTGGTTTGGAAAGAAAGGGGTATGTGACAGGTTTTTTTTTTTTAATATGTCCGGAATTGGTTCTTTTAGGTTTTTTGGACTTGAACCTAAACATTTTTACCAGTCTGGAACCAGTCCAGTGAACCGGTAATCCGTACACAACACAGCACTATATGTACCTAGAGTAAACAAATTTTGGTACAGCTCCACAGGTTTAACTTTAGATACAGATCCAAGATTTTGTGACATATAGGTTTACCCCATTTCCATAGTGTCTGAATCTCATCTTTTGACTGCCTATTATTCTGCCTATCAATCTTCCCTCACCCATGTGCTGTCTACCTACCGGTATATATTCTCAAGCTCAACCCTTTTCCTGTACCTGATGTTTTGACCTCTTGGCATTCTGTCTGTCATTCTTCCCTCACCCATGTGCTGTCTACCTAGACATACTCTCAAGCTCACCCCATTTCTTACGCCTGATGTTTTGACCTGTCATTCTGCCTGCCAATCATCCCTCCCACCCACCTATTGTCAACCTACTCTGTCCAGTCAATAAACACCCAAAGTCCCAAACCCACAATGCAAAACATCAAAAACAATTATTATAATTTATATTTTCTTAATAACTGGAGCCTCACATTGTCCATTGTTTGATGTGCCGTCACTATGTAAGTCATTCTTGAAGCCTGCTACTGTGGTTAGGTAATTCCTCTGTAGCCTCATTTGACACAGGGCTGACAAAAACGATTCCATAATGATTAAAAAGTGATTTCATTTCAGTTTTTCATTAGCCTGGGTGCCATACCATTTTTTTGTCCCATATTCTCTCCCTAATTTTGTTAAG